TATTCTGTGCACTGAAGTTTATAACTGGTGCGGATTTCTCAATATCTTGATGTAAAGTCTTAGGGTGGTTCTGAGGTAACAAACCATGAGTCACGGTCTCTGTTACCAAGCTGCTGCTTATAATACTGTCTGCCGAAACGCCGTATGATGAATGGACACTCTCAAAAATATCTCCACACATTACAGCTTGGTCCATCTGCACTCGATCATCTGTTGGACTTTGCATCCCACTGGTTTGAGTTTCTCTAGAGATCCCACCTGACTGGAAACAGGCATCTATAAACGCATCAGTCTGAGCAGCAATAGATGAGGTTACCTTAGAACTGGGCAAAAAAGTTTGAGTATGAACACTAATGGGAAGGCAAACTTGAGAACCAAATGTCAAATCAGTTTGAGAACAAGACGATACAGAGGAATCAGGGCTAGCCCACTGTGCAGAAGGAATAAAGTGTTGTGTGGCATAAGACAGATCTGTCTGTACATTGATTGAAGAAATGCTGTTCTTTTGACATGTGTTCCCTAGTTCTTGTAAAGGGTGAGATGGACTTTTACCCAAGTTCACTTGAACACCTGTGCTAACTGGCTCAACAGCAACAGGATTTACAAGTTTTGAAAGAGGGAGGCTCTCCTTGAGAGAGCAAGCCTCTGAATCTAGGCCGAGGATCAGGGTTCCTATGGACAAGGGGAGTAAGTGCACAGCTCCCGGGGCAGAGCCTTGGTGATCGACACCCAACACCACGGGCTGGGCTGAGGAGTCGGCTGTAGGCACAAAGACAGGCACAGGAGAAAGCTGCATGACGGGGAGTTTAACCAAAGCCACTTTGGGCTTCGGTAAAAGCAACTTCTGAGGGTACCTTGGAGGTGTTGTCAGAGTCTGCTTTCTGGCAGTAGAGTTGCAAGAGTCTTCAAAAGAAGCCATCAGCTTTATTTCTGAAGTTTCCAGTTCTTGAGTATCTGGTCTTGGGGTTTGTTGGCTGCTCAGTGATTCGACGGTCTTACTGGACAACTTCTGGTTGTGCAGGCAGTTTTCCATTTTCCTTTTCTTACTAGGTGGATCCCTGGAAACAATGACAGAGTAAAAAGAGAAAAATAACTTTAAATGGCAACTTTCCTTATCAACCTTAGCGCTGTATCTACACTTACAAAGTCTATTTCCCATGTCAACAGCAAAGGTGAGATTCAACCCAGTGAAGAGAAATCCCTTCTCTTGTAACCTGACCTATTACATGGTAGACAGAAGTTCAAAAACATGCAAACAGGGAAGGAGGAAGCATGCCTTTTTGGGAGAGAAAGCTCCAAATACTAGAACTCAACTTAGATCTGTAAGCGTCAGAAAGCTAACAGATTACATAATGCAACTATTACTATTTCTAAAGTGGGAAACCTATTAGTCCAAATATAAATCTGACCTTTCAAATGAAGCACAGTTACATGATTGAAAACTCTTCAACAATCTAGTACCCCTCTGGCAGAAAATGCTGGAAGTTTCTGAAGAATTGAAAACTCAGATTTTCATTTGGGAATAATAAGAGACCCTCAAAAGGAGCTGGTGAAAGAATCAGGAAGAACAATTGGGTCAAGTAGATGCGGATCATCTGCTAGTACCGCTGCCATTTCAGAAAATTCCCTTCTTCCGTGTCACACCTTTTCTTCACTGTTCCTCCTTTCTCCTTACACTAAGGCTCTCCAGGAAGTTAAACTGAAAGTCTTCTCACAGCTACTGGCGTTTGGGCCACCAGTTTCCCCCGTTTACCTGTGTTCTGCAGGGATCTCATGGCCAGTTCGGTAGACATGGGACTGCAGTGCAGTTCTGCTGGCATAGGGACAGCCGCACGTGCACTGGAAGGTCTTGCCACAGTCTTCCGCATGTCTTCTTAAGTCCCATTCAGTGCCGTAGGAGTTGCTGCACTTGCTGCATTTATGTTTCTTTTCAGCATGCATTTTCATAAAGTGCTAGGCAGAACACAAAAGGACTTTCTGAAATGAAAAACTGCAACTGCTCAAAACATTTCAAAAGACATCAACATACCCATATTAACAATGATTTTACATGATTAAGTATGGCAGTGCACATCAAGAGTGTAAAAGCAGGCAAACTGCAGTTTATCACGTGCTGCTTCTCCCTGTCACTTTGGCTTTGTGAAAAGTGGAGGAGACTGTTTTGGAAACATTCCAGGTACCCAACATTTAGCTTTTCACTTGTAAGTAAGTGCTGCAGGTAAGAAAAGTCTTTGCAAGCTTTTCTCAGGATCCCCTCCAGCAAATCTGCAGGGAAATATTTCAGCCGCCCATCTTTTCAGTCCAGAAGCACCTCTTTCCCCACTTGCTGTGCCCCTCCCTCCTAAGATAGCGGTTTCTGAAATTCTTCTTTCCTGAATTCTGCAGTTCCTTACTTCCTTGGGAGAACATTGCCTTTGTGCATTTGTTCCTGACCTTGAAAGCATGTAGATTCATAACAGAGATCTGGGAGGACACACTTTATCATACTTTGCTGTCTTGCTCTTCTTTCTCTCCAAATTCACTTCTAGAAGTCTTCTCTTCCAGAACAAGCCATGTCTCTTTCACTTACACCCTACCCATTTTTTCCCCATCTGGGGCACCAGGGCAACTATCCTCAGAGCATCTTTCTTCTCCATTCTCTAGTTATGACTGGTAAGTAATGAGAATGCACATTAGGTTTATGCCATCTGCATTTCATTCTCAGAGAAGTATACCTAAGACAACTAAAATACCTGTTTTACGAGAGAAAATTGAGAAAATGGTCTGTCAGGGCCTCGAGGGCATCCTTCAATTGGACAACAGTAGAATTTCGGTACAGTTTTCAAATCTTTTCTTATTGTTGGATTCACTATGCCATCCTGCAAAAGAAAAATTACTTTAAATAATTATTTAAAAAAAACCAACAGAAAGAGCTGGGAGTAATAACAAGGAATGACTCAAGATGGGCACAAGGGATCTTTTTAGGGTGATGAAAATGTTCTAAAATTGGAATTGTGGTGATGCTTACATAACTGTAAATCTACTAAAAAATAACTGAATCATTCATTTAAAATGGGTAAATTTTATGGTGTGTAAACTATAGCTCAAGAAATCTGTTAGAAATTTTCAAAACAAAAAAAAAACAAAAAATGATGTTATTTAAAAAATTTCCATCCATTCCTATAATACTCCTAAACTTAAAAATCTCTGCTCTTAAAGCTAGCTAGCTTCCCTATTTCTAAATGGTTTATTTAGTTTCTCAGGCTCAAGACTTGGTATCATCCTTAAGTCTTCTCTTCCCCTCTATCCCATTCCACCCCCAGTGAATTAGTGTGAGGCCCTGAAAAAAAACCCTCCTTTGACTATGACCTAGGCCTTCCTGATACAGAGCACTGTGACTTTCTCTGATCACCACATTGCCCTCCTAAAGTAGCTAAAGCCAGCTGACAAAACTTTTATATACTATGCTTGAATACAGGCACCATGCTCTGTTTGAATTTTAATAATCACTATAATGGCCAGTACTAATACAGCTTTTACTACTGTGTCAGGCACTATTCTAAGCACTTTATATGTATTAACTCATCCTAATAATCCTTTGTTATTCAGTATGTGATTGACTTTTCGGCTGGCAGTTTTCAAATAACTGGTGAGTTAATTTATCTTGAAGAGCTCTTGTTAACCTGGGGGAGCCCACGTATCTCAGGTGTGAGACACTTATGACCTCTTACCTGGCTACCCCCTGCTGGCCCTGAAGGGAGGTGTGTGTGTGCAGCTGGTGATGAATGACCTCTTTATAGGTCACTGGAAACAATGGGATATGTGCTCAGGCCTCAGCTGCTGCAGCAGCATCTAGATGTTTTAGTCCTTAAGCGTTCTGATGAGAAAGGATTCATTTGGAACATGCCCACCTCCTTCTCCATCGTCAGTGTGTTATCTAGAGAAGAAATTAATAACCACATGGCTAAGACTCCTTCCCTTTGCTTTCGTGATGTATCTTAAGAGAAACAGGTTGATCTTGTTGAGTCTGTGTCCACTCATTTAGAGGGGAAAAGAAGCCGTTCTTGTTTTATTTTTAAGCAACATAATTTATCTCTCAGTGATGTCAAATTTAGTCAGTTACTTCTCCATGTCTTCCACACTGGTCCACCCTTTTATAATCCTACTGCATTACAGTGTCTAGATATTCATACTCATTTGGATTGTTTAAATGGTCAGCTAAATAATTTTCCTTCCTCTTCTAACATAACAAATTTGACATTCCAAAAAATTATTTGTATATATCATACCTAATACTATTTTTTTAAAAAGCTACATAAAACCCCAACTCCTCATTACGCTTCTAATCCACCATTATAACCGTCTCTTTTTCTGTTCCCTTTTCATACACCACCCTGCTCAGCCTAACATTCTTCCCACTTCCAGTTTCACCTCCTGCAGCCATTCTTGTATGACCACCTCTTTCAGGCAGAACTCAGTGGTGGGAAGAGCACACAGCACTGCTTAGGGGGTATTTCCACCACTGATTAGGGGCATGACCTTGGACAGGGTATTTCCTCTCTGAGCCAGTTTACTCATTTCTAAACCAGAGAGACTAGTTAACTCTCAGGATTATCTTGTACCGGATTAGCAAGGAGCCTAGTCCAGGTCATATTCTCAATAAACAGCACTCCCTTGTTCTGCTCACCACCGGGATCTAAAGATCTATTCCTTGTCTGATGTCACTTTGCATACTATCATTTTCTTCTAGAGTTCCTGTCTCCCCAACTACATTTTTTAAGGACAGAAACTATTTCATACACCTATTTTCATGCTTAAAGAAGAGAGCAATTGCATGCTAAATGTAGAGCACTTTTAGAAAGGCAGTCCAGTGTAGGGTAGTGGCTCTCAACCCTGGTGGCCTGTGACAAGTCACTTGAAGCACTAAAAACAATACCTATGTATGCCTGGTCCCAATCCCAGGTATTCATGCAATTCGTTTTGGGTGTGTTTAGTATTTGATTTAAAATTCGGTTTGGTATTTGGTTTAAAAATCTCACCTGATGATCCCAATGTGTAGCCTAGTTTAAGGACCACTGGTGCCGAGGTTAAACCCACAGGTTCTGGAATATGGACTGCTGTAGCCTGAATTCTCTACCCTGCCTCCTTCTGTGTTCTAGGCTGTCAAATGTTCTACAAAACCCTGCCTGCAGGCTCACCAAGAAATTCATGTTCACTTCTAATACATCCTCAATTTGCTAGCAATCCTTTTACTACCCCTTTTCATATACCTGCTAACTTCACTTTTTAAAAAATTAATAAACTTTTTTTTAAAGAGAAGTTTTATTAGATTCACAGCAAAACTGAACCAAAAGAACAAAGAGTTCTCATACAATGCCCCACCTTGCCATCCCTTCCCCTCGGGCCGTACAGTCTGTTCCACTAACATTCCTCACCAGAGAGGTACATTTGTTACAACTGATGAAAGTATACTGACACATCATTATCATCCAAAGTCCATAGATCATATTAGAGTTCACTACTGCTGTCATACGTTCTATAGGTTTTCACAAACGTATAATGACAGGTATCCATTGTTATAATATAGAGTATACTCACTGCTCTAAAAGTCCTCTGTGTTCCACCCTGGTAACCACTCATCTTTTTACTGTCTCTAAAGTTTTGCCTTTTCCAGAATGTCATATAGTTGGAAAAACACAGTATGTCACCTTTTCAGATTGGCTTCTTTAAGGGTCCTTCTGTCCCCTTTACTGTTTTTAAACACGAGGAATAAAACAATCTCTAACAATGAAGAAATGTCCATTTATTCTTACTCTTCTTTTCCCTGAATCACCAGCTTTCATTTCTCCATGGATCCCTCCTGTAGGCAAGGCTGGGACTAGGATATTTCCAGATTTCTTTATAGAATATGGAATAGAGACATGTATCTTAAAGAAACCACGTAAAACCAAAAGGCAGCATGTACCTTACATCTCACAATTCAATCTCCACTTTTATTCATCATTCTGCAGAAGGATTTATTACTCATTAAGAAGGAATATTTGATTGGGGGCAGTGTATCTTCTGAAGAAAGAATAAAACAAGAACCTTACAGCAACTAATGGGGAAGGGAATAAAAGATCATAATCTAGAAGAAAAAAAAACTACGAAAGAAGCTACAATTATGTGAGTAGCTATAACAGGAAGCGCAAAGGGAAAATCTCCACTGACTATTATGCAAATCTGCCAAGTAGATATACTCAGCCTAGCTTGAGGGTAGAAAGTAGGCACACACTGGACTGCTTGTGGTCTCTGTCTAAACACAGAACACTTTCAAAACCACAGGGACCTCCCAGTCAGCTCTTGTCCTTAGGCCTCTTTCTTTCCCCTCTTCCTTCCCATACTTTGAGACACCACTTGTCAAGGGTAATGTTTGTACTCAAGAGCCTGCTACTTGGGGTCCCGACTGAGTGTACAGATTCACCACACCGGGGTGACACCATACAGAGAGGGCTGTTTTGTCACACAGGCCACCTTTGTTAAAGAAAAAACCGCTTCCACCAAGACAGCAGATGCTCAGGGGCTGCTAGGCATCATGGTTAGAGGTAGAACAAGGCAGGAAAGTGAGCTTGTTTGACAAGAGGAAAACAATGATGGTTCAGAGTAAGGCTTCTTTAATTCCTGCTAAAAAAGGTCTCCTCAGTGACCAAGGAAGGAAACTCAGGAGAGTTCTTTTTTTTTTTTTCTCTTCAGTGTTTTCAGGTCAGAAAGAGATCCTGAGTGCACTATGCTGTCTTCAGACAAGAGAAATTTGAAAAATGACTAGAACTCAAAGAATGGCTTCACAGAGGTTCTAAGCAAAGGAGGATACTGATAACTCTGGCCTAATAAAGTCTAAGTAAAGATGTGACTGTCAAAATTTGTAATTTGCCTCATGTTCCTCCTTCTTAGACCTATTATATGCTCAGGGTTGGTATCTTCAGAATTCCTGAACTTCACATATTTTAAAAACATAATTAGAAATGAACCTATTGTATATTACCAAACTGGTCCTGACATGTAACTGGTATCTCGATGCCTTATAGATGCTTCACAAGGTCTTGAGAGATACAAAGCTTGTGACAGCAATTCCAGAGAAAAGAATGACATAAACCGTTAAAAAGTGCTTCTTAGGGTGGTGTGCAGGCCAACACAAAGAGGGTCCTGGTCAGACAGGCAGCTCCCCTGGTGCTTACAGATGTAATGCTACCTTAGCTGTCTACCAGAGAGGAGATGATACTGAAGGAGGGTGATGGCTGTTACATATATATGAGCTAAAGAGCATCAAGGGGTCAGGCTGTAGAATTCTTACAAATATATAGTTCATCCACTAAGTTAAAATATGGATAAGGAAAAGAAGAATTTAATTAAAATTTGTGCCAGGGAAGAAACCCAAAACTACTGAGAAGTGCAGCCTCACGGGCAGGGTCTCCTTCAGCTTACCTCTAAGGAAGGTAATTTCCGGACTGGCCTCCCTAAACTTCATATAAGAATGTTGCTGCCTCTTGATTCAGTTGGCACCAGAAGGGGACTGTCCTTCATGGGCAACACATCTGCTCTGCTAGAGACTTCAAACTTTCTGCTGTTAAATTCTTATCAGAAACCTGATTCTAAAAACATTTCCGAGGTGGATTTACCTGAAGGGCGGACAGAACGTGCAATACGCCAGGTAATTTAAACTTACTCCTTTATCAATTCAGACCATCAAAAGCTACCTATTCACAAAACTTTCAGTGACACGCTTTGGAATTACGTCACTGTTGGAACAGAGAGACTCGAATAAGTGGTGGAGGGAAAATTCCTATTGTAATGACTGAGACATTAGGATTTACTAGGTCTAGGGCTGGACTGGACATCTGAATTTTTTATAAGCTCTCCACAGAGGTGCACTAAAGGTTGAAAATCACCGTCCCATTCTACACAAGGTGGAAGGGATGTTCAGACTATTGCCATGTCATTACATACCGTGTCATCTCTTAAAGACGATTCACAGAAGAAATTTCGCTTAGTTCTCATTCCTGAGCAAAGTTGATTTCACCAACACTGAAACTTGGAATGACGGAGCTCTAAGCCTTACCAGTTGGGCAGGACCTAAACGCCTGAAGGAGGTATTGCGGGAGTGGTGGAGAGAACGCCGACTTTAGAACCCGAGACCGAGTGTAAACCCCAGCACGACTCGGGCTGCGTCACCGGTTTCTCCTCAACAGAAGAAGGTGCTATGAGAACCGGCGAGACAAACCTGTGAAACGCCCGAGCCGCCCAGTACGAGGCCGCCAGTCCTGCGGGTCCGAGCCTGACAGCCCGGGGACATGACACAGTGTTTCCTATCGCCGCGCCTCCCTGCGCCCTCCCAGTCTCCCTTTTCGGACTCCCTCACGTTTCAGGGCCTCGGAAGCCCCTGCGACGCTGGCCAGACACACGGCGCAACCCCGCCCGCGGCCCGCGCCTCACTGGGAGCCGGACCCGAGCCCCCGGCCCCCAGCGCCGCCCTCAGGC